AAAGTTCACGCACATTACAACGATAATTAAATACTTGTATACAATATAACTGAATACAAAATTAGTACATAATACATTTTATTTAAATTATTATAAATTCTACTTCTTTCAAATGTTTTGCATACCTAGACAAATAATCGCTGTTTTTTTGTTATAGGTGGCTATTTGAAAATCAAAAGCTGACATGACGCGTTCATGGTTACTAAGGTGAGAGAATAAAATGTTAAAATTATTTTAAATTGGATTTATCAACGGTTCTACGTGTATTGACTGAATAAAACCAAAGTCGAATTCACAGACAATCGCTACAGGTTTGTGATGAAACAAAAAAAAAAAAAATCATTTTGTACATATTTTATTCTATGATAGTTTATTAATTTTCGGTTATTTTAATGACAAAATATGGAAATTTTGTTTCAATACTACTCTCGAATATACACAAGAGACTACTTATATGTCTACGAGTGTAGACTATAAATTGTATAATGATAACCTCCTAATCGTTTTAACACAGATTTGAAAAAATATATTTATCCAAAATATCTCCCTGTATTAGAAGTTTATTTAATAATATATGATTTTTTGTCTTCAATAATTATTGTAGAAATTAAATATTTATACTGTTCGGTATGTTTATTTTCCTAATTAAACACGTATTTCCGCGTGCTTTCTAATCGCCATAATAATTATATCGAGGTAATTGTGTAACCGTATTCTATATATATTTAGATTTGGTCATGGACGTGAGTTCTGGTTTTGATAATCAATTTTTATCCAACTCTACCACTAATATTTTACCGTCGACTCTCGTTTTCAAATTATATTTATATATATATAAGCAATTAACAACAATTAGTATTAAAATAAATAAATATTTAATTATATATCACATTTAACATTATTTTTAATTTAACAACATACATTTTATGTTATAACTGTATAAATAACAATAAATTATAAAACCCTTATAATATTATTCAAAGTACTTATAATATATAGTGCAAATTAAATAAGTAAATAATTGCATACAATCAAATGATAGATCAACGACAAAATACATACAGGAGTAACTTGTAAAATTATAGGAAATCCAAATACTATAATAAAAATCGCTATATGTATAAGCATAAATTGTTATTTGTTCAAATATTCGAAAATAAGTTTAAAACACTTTTTCATTCCTGAAAATACGCGGCGGTGTTCTGGGCCCGCAGAAGTATTTATACAAAGTGTTTTTATTATTAATTCTCACCGCCTGAAACTCACAATTATTTCACTTTTATCGCGCCTATACGTAGTTGTATTTATTTTAAACATTGACATTTATCATAAATTATGAACTGTTACGTTACTAATAGAATCACCAACGTAGGTAAATCGACTGTAAAAAAAAATTCTTAGCTCAATAATATACCTAAAGACAATATTATAATATGTTGAGTGTTAAAACATATGGTTATGAAATTTCAATTTGTTTTAACGTAAAAACAACCTGTGCATTTACATAATATTATGATAGGAAAAAAGAATGATTATAAAACTGAATAAATTAAGAACTTTACGAGCATTCCAAACATATTTTAAAAAATCAACTATAATTCCGTGGCTATACAATTTTAAAAGAATTTAGTAACTTAATATATTATATTTACAATGTACAGAGAGCTAAATAAATTCAATATCCTAATTTGCAAGCGATTAACTAGACATTTTTAAAATTCTTTTTAAAAAGTACTTTTACTTTGACACCTATTGGTGTCTATTAGATTCAGAGTATGTAGATATTGATTTATACCGTTTAGTACATACATAAATATTCCCGTTCAATTTCCCGTTCAAAGAATGATTATAATAATAATAATAATAATAATAATAATAATAATAATAATAATAATAATAATGACAATAATAATTTATATTTGCAAACAAATGGCATCATAATTTCCAATGTGATACGATAATAATATTTTATAATAATAACATTGCACGAATTAAAATTAACAACAATAATGTTATGAAATTTTCATCCAAATCAACATTTGTAACTATGTACTGTATAAATGTAACTGTGTGTAATTAGACAGACATAATGGGAATGTAAGGTTTGTAAGGGATGTAAACTTATGTTTAAAAACTAAGAAAAGTAAAAAGGTTTAGAATGTATAGGGTAATAATTATTATTGTGTGCTCAGTAAACTTTAATGAGTTATTATATTATTAGTCACGTTTTCCCTCTTATTGTAGTTAAGGTAACCGAGAAAAATCAACAAAAATAAAACTGATGTTTCATCGTTTGTCATTTTAATCGTTAAGGAGAACTGTTGGTTGTCTCTAATAATGTTCTAACAAAGTACTATTTGGTGAAATATCCACATTTTACTATCGGTATTTAAAGCATTTTTCCAATAGAAATGTTGTTTGTGGAGACAGAAGAAAAATACCTTCGTAAAATTAACCCTTAACTACCGACGTATACATTCATCACATAGTTAGCGACGTGTGGTCTATATAAGCACAACTAGAGCACGATTATTTTTACTGCTGAAATTATAAAGTATACCTACTAAACAGTGCAAGCTACACCCCCATATCCCCAAATACCATACCTCCGATCTAACTATTTATTTTATTAAAGTTATAAAGTATTAAGCAGCAAATAGATTAAAAAAACACCGTTTTTTTTTTAGTAACCTCTGATAAAATTATACAATTTTGAATTTACACGTGTTCCGTGACGTATGGTCTACATAATATTATAATCATTAATCAAATGATTTGATAAGAATGTATAATATTATATTATTAGTTTTCAAACTAATATTATTTTACGATTACTATTGTGAAATACTTTTCTAATATTTTTGAAGAGGTTACTTAATTCATTTTTGGTGGTTTTAAAATGAAGGATTAAATTAGAGTCTGTGATTGCTGGAACCCCTCTAAGCACCCCTAGTTGCGTCTATGGTGGTCTACCAAACCGCGCCAACTTGTAGACACATAGTTTAAATAAAAAATATACAAGTTACAATCAAAGAAAATTCCAATTATATTTTAAAACTTGTTTTTTAAGATTTATATATTATATTTTATATTTTAAAAATTATTTTAATTTTTTGAAGTCACCCTACAGGCATGAAATTCTTTAAATTATACTTAAACGATAAACTTGAAAAAAAAATTTTAAACTTTAAAATAAAAACTACGATCATTAAAATCTTTTTGTTTTGTATTTTAATATAGCTTATTCAGTACATTCAGAATCTAAAACAAAAACTACAACCTGTTTTGCATTTAATTAATTTCCAACTTTGTTTTTATACGTCGAAGTAATTATAGAGTTAATAATAGTGAAAATTTATTATTCATTGATTTATAGGCCAATGGGATTTTTATATAAATATTATTTTTTTTAATTTTTTTTTTTTAAACTTGTTGGTTTACGGTCCATTCCGCTATTTATGATAATTAATACGTGTTCATTTTATAGAGAACATTATAAAAATTGTTTACAAATTAGGTACGTTTCAGTCTCTCTTTGTCCTTGCAAATAAATTCATAACTTTTGATTCGGTTGTTTTTTTTCCTTGGAATAATTACCGTACCAAAATTACAATAATTTACTTACAGTTTAATCGATTTCAAAAACAGGATAATTAAATGTTTAGGCATCTTCATGGCTGATTCGGTTTTTCTTATTTATTACAAGAACACACTCTGATTTAACGTCAATTAATTGGATTTATAAACAAGAACGTATAACTTAAAGAGAACATCGCCGTAGTAGCGTTGAAAACTTGGAAAAAATAATGAGTATACTAAAGGCGTTTAAAATGAGTACATTTGTTTTCTTTTTGTATAATATATGAATAAATTTATCGCTGTGATTTATTATTATTTAAAAAGATTACTTATGTTTTAAAAATAGTTTTTAAACACAAGCACTATATTATACTATATAATGTTTAATTTGTTGTATTAAAATGGTTTAAAGCTAAATGAGTGAAAATAATAAATCGACGCATAACGCTAAAGAGTTAATTTTTTGTATGTTAAAAAAATAATGAAAATAATTAAACTCTTACTTAAATAAGTAAAATTAGAAAATCACTGATAAAATTTAAGTAGGTTTATTTTATTTTATTACGAGATATCTTTAAAATAGTAAATCTTGTAAATTAATTTATCGATGATAAACTCTCCAATTGAAAGAATTGGTACAACAAGCAGATAAATCCACTTTTTAAAATTGTTCAGTATGAATAAAAATGTTTTTTTTTTTACCAAATTAAATATTTTTTTTAATACAAAAACTTGGTCAATTTCTTACATCATATCTTAATGTTCTATTGGTGGTGTATCACCGGAGTTATCTGGTTGTTGCACCAAAAACAAAAACAAGATAAATCAAATTTCATTAAAAACTATACATATATTTATCAGATTTAACTGGTTATTTCACCTAAATTTAGAGAATTTTTTTCTACACAATAATTAAAGGAAAAGTGCATTTTCTTGAAAAGTGGATTTATCCGGTTGTTGCACCAGCCCTTCAGTTGAAATATAATTGCACTATATTATTTTATAATAATATTAATAACCAAGTTCACTGCTATTATAACCGAATTGGCTAACGAAATGAATAGTTTTGTACGCAAATTATAATATCTTACTTACTTATAATAAAATGATATAAAAAAAAAAAATTATTTTTGAACATATTTTTAAGTTAGATAGATTTTGTACTTCTCCAATAAGATTACGTTTATTTCAGATTTAAGAAAAACATTTTTTAGTATTTCAATAAAATTATTTTCATTCTGTCTATAAAAACTATATTTAAAAATATAATATGGTAGACAAATTAGTCTTAGATTTTCTCGGTAACTATTTAGTATAATATAATATAAAGGTTAGGTTACGTTACTAAACATTTCTTCTTTTTTTCTAGTTCAGTCATTAAGATAATGCCGCGAAACAAATTCCTCTCTATTCATCTCTATCTTCTGCAGCTTTCCTCAATCCTCATGGCACATCTAGTTAAGTCCTTCTCTCAAGGCTTTTATACAGTAGTCCCAAAGCAGTCTTAATCTTCTCTGAGGTCTCTGGCTAGTCAGATTATCCTCGTTGGTTATTTTAATTATGAAACCTATTGTCGTAACGTATACCTTCCTCAAATCAGCTTCCTTATCCTAATTTCCATTTAAATGTCCAGTCTCTGGAACAGCTTTTCAAATTCATGGTTGTACCGTTCTCACAATTCTCCTGTATAGGTTTCGATGCAGGGACTATAGATTTCTCTTAGGATTCTTCTTTCAAGTACGCTTAGTATCGTCTCCTCAGTTTTCCCGAGTGGCCATGTTTTCGAGGCATATAAAACAATGGGTCTTATCAGAGGTATATAGATTTGTATTTTTAAGTTTATCGACAGGTTTCTTGAACTCAGTATTTTCCCCGAGTCCAAAAAAACACTTATTGCCCTTTTGTGTTCGAGTGCTGATTTCCATTTTATCAGGAATAACATTTAAGCTATTAATTTTAATGTAAGACTGAGTTAAAACTATTACCACATTTAAAGATAAGAACATTATCTATGCAAAATTAGTGTTATTTATTCGAAATTTTATTTTCAAGTGAGAAATTGTGAAAAATATGAAATTGTACAGTTTAATTATGTTTACATAAAACCAACAGTACAATATTGTCCCTGTTGAACGAAAATTTGATAAGTCATACATTTTTAAGACAGAGATAATAAATGTGTATATCGCGTCATCTAAGAGTGCATATCCATTAAAACGTCCTTCATAAAATGGTACTCAAGGTTTAGGAATAAAATGTTTAATACCTAATATGTTTTGTTTGATTTCATTATTATAATATAATAACATACACCATGGACTAAGTTATCTTAGTCCGTGACAGGCGTTATATTGTATCAGTTTTTATAAAAATAATATTATTTATCATAATTTTTATCCATTAATGATATTTTTGTCGTTAAGCCTCTCTCCTCCCTCGGGTCACTAAAGGCAACGACACTGCGCTTTAAATGGTTGTTTTTTAAATTGATTTTTAGATTTATAATACATTACAATATGTGGACGCCAATTCAAATTAAATATTGTCTTTTTGTATTATACTATAGTATTGTTTCTGGCTATATTGTACTGTCGTTCATAAGGCAACCGTTTTCGACTATTTAAGAGCACAAATATAATATGAATATTATATTATTAGATCATAAAAGGCTTATTCACATTAAATAATATTTATTCTCTATTAGTATTAACAATTTCTCACAGTCACAGACAATTTTTCCTTCTGATCGTGTAAGAAATACGAAACAAAATATATCAATATTACCGCTGGCGTTTATCGCCACAAGCATAGGTACCGCTAATCTGTTATATTCGAGTACATTGAATGGACACAAAATATCGTGGTCGTAATTTAGAGGAAATGTATATTTAATTAAACTGCAAATATTACATTTTTATATTTCTTGGCGACAAGAGCATTTCTCAGCTCCGGAAAAGATAGCCTGCGGGCTATTGACGACTGAACCGCAGAGAGACGACAGTAAAACAAACGGAAATGGTTTTATTGTATCTAAACGACTTCGATTTTCTTAAAGCAATTAATATTTTCGATTATCACGTGTTTTAATTATACGAACGTTATTTTGCTATTTCAGACAATAAAATCCAATACAAATCAACAACCGATAGATTATAGAACGTTGGAAATTATTTAGGTAATATGATTTTTCGTCATAGTTTACTCACGGTTTTCGATATTTTGTTGACATATCGGTATACACTATTAAATGACCGTGTTACACGAGAGTGGATAGTTCTTATAAAAATACGAACAAATTGAGTTACCACTATTTACTAGTAACCATCTTGTGATAGCTAGAAATACTCCGCTGTTCCCGTATGCATTGCATGGCTGTGGTCCTGTTTCTATTTATTAACTTGGTTTACTATAATGACTATATAGGTGATAGATGGGACATTAACGCGCATTTACTAAAATTCGCTAAGGACTTTCAGTAAAACAAACTATACGATTTTATGGACTGACAACGAGCTTATTTTCACCTGGATATACCAGGAAAATACTGAGATATGAACATTATTATCCTTTGACTTTTAGATAAGTACATAGACTAAGGGGTCTTTAATCTTTTTATGTAGTGGTCACATATTATTTTTTATAAATCTTGCGGGCCGCATTCGTTATAAAAACAAGTGTATTTTATACAAAAATTCAATTTTATTATTATTGAAACATATGTAGATTAATAAATTAAAATTTTTAATTACAAATTATTTATTTTATATTTAGTGTGATAATAACTGATAACTGACATTATTTTTTACTAACTAATTTTTCTATATTTAGTTGTATATGAGAACATTCAATTATCAGCGAGTTTTCTAAGTGTATGTCAGTTAATCAAGATCTAGTTTTCGATTTGACAATTTTCATTCGTAAAAATAAATGCTCGTAAGTGTAGGTATTAGCAAAAAGAGTAGGTAATTTAATTTATCTTGTCACATATTTCCTAATTCTTTCGATAGCAATGGCCGTTCTAATTTTATCGAAATAAAAAAAGATATGTTATACTTCAAATATAATCATGGGTCGCAAATAATAACAGGGGGGGGGCCGCAAGCGACCCTCGGGCGGTGAGTTAAAGACCCCTGACATAGACGATAGCTAATACGATATGGATAACGTATAGACTGATCATAAGTCCATATCACTATCTATAAAACTATACATTATGATCTGCATGTTTTTCTATATTTTCCTTCGTTCATTATGTACAATTGCTACATAAATAATTATTATTCTTGTTTTAAATATAAACCATGATTTGCATTAAAATTATTATATTTACATCATAGTTGAATGCATAATCATAGTATCTAAAACCACGGTACCTACTATCTAAATATCAACTTTAAAATCGTAATCGTAAATAATTACTAATGTAATGCAAATAAAAAATTTTTGTTCATAGTATTTGTTTTCTATTCACTTACTATGTTAATTGATATATATAATAATAATTTCATCTCATTTTTTATAAATGGTTTAGTGTTTAAAATTTCTAACTTCTAAATCACACGAATACAAAATCATTGTTTTATGACTTTATGATTAAGAATTCATAACTAAATTTATACATATATATATTTATCGCTTCATGTCGCTTAGCGATAAATATTATTACCAGTATTTTATTACCTAGTGACAATGTTATTAAACATTGGTAATATACCAATTAACTAAATAGTAATTATTAATCATAACGATGTACCACCGTATTTGGGTGTAGCCACTGTTGTAGGTGGAAAGTTTGGAAGATAGGATACAGACGGAAATTTAATGTATATCTATAAGTAACGATAAACCATAGCTAACGAAAAAACGATTCAGAGCGGAGTTCAGTTGATATCGCTGCTTTGTTATCAATACAATATATAGTATATATCATATTATGGTAAAATGATTAAAACAGTTTACGTTTCCATGACAACAATAATTGTTTGAAAAAGATTAAATAATAAAAACTTAATAATAACAAAAAATTAATAAAACCGGTTGCCAACGACAACCTTATTTTTATTCTTTCAATCTTTTTTAACCTAAAGACCGAGGTTTTCCTCATTATCTTGATTAATTAATGATAATTTTAAAAAATGATCTCATTAAAGTACTACTCAGAAAACATTTCCTTCAGAAAAGGTGCTATACTTGATAGTCGGAGTATGATTTCTAGTAGAAAAAATGTTCACATAAAGAAAAAGAAAATAAACATCATTGTAATACCCTCGCTCCACTCAAAATCTAAAAGCAATACAACTATGAATAAATTCAGTTAATTAGAAAAGTCGAACTAGTTTTTATAGACAGGTTGTGGACTGTAGAAATTGCAGAAAACACCGTGCGTATCACTGATATACCTATCTATTTGTCATGGTTAAACTAATTAATAGCTAAATTCTTGGATTCTTAGTTCTACCTCAGAATAGATAAAATCAGAAAGAACACTTCAAATGTAAACAAAATCAAGGAGCCATTTTCCCAGTACGTATTTCGATTCATTGCTATTAATTATTAATTTGATAAAAATCGTTCTAATATCTGTATTATCTCTGTGATTTATCTGTGTTTGAAACTTGTACGCGTTTTTTAAATTTTTATAATTTTCGTATACCTAATACTTATTATTAAGTTTAAACTATTGCATACAATATTATACTCATAATGATTACACACAGTTATTATTTAAGCTACTTGTATTAATTTACCTATTATAAAAATTGTTATAAATAGACGCAGCGTGAAAAATGTATGGGTGGAATTTGTAGGTGGAAAAAAATTAAAAAAATTTACACCTCTCCCCCCATTCTACGTATATATACTGATATACAATCAAAAAGTTAACTGAACAGATATAATAAAAAATATACTTGTGTATTAATTCAATATTAATTCTATGTGTCAATAATTAAAAACAATAATTTTAATTTTATAGACTAGTCATACTGATTTCGTACTGGAAAGATAGACATCACGATTTTTGCATATGCCATGTATGTTAATTTGAATCAGTGTTCGCATTCTTCATTTTTCTTTTAGGGCATGGAAAGAAATCACGGGCCCAGGGACAAAATAATCCCTCCTAATGTAAAATATTAAACTTAACACCAATACCCAGCGTATTTATTTAAAATGTGTTAAATAAAAAGAAGGTTTCAAAAGCACAAATAATATTGTTACTAACACATATAATATGGTACAAAGTAATTATTTCTCTCGTCGGATCTGGTTCTACTCAGCGAAATATAAAATAAGACTGTCAATTTTGTAAATATATAAGACTACTGAAATGTAATCCTGCGAATCAAAATTTATATACTTTGTATTGACCGATTATATTATCTTTAATATATAATATAAATGTACCTACAATTTCTTGAACTGTAATTGAAATTCACAATAAAAGGATAGCGGATTGTAAGTTTAATACATTATTGTATTCATGTGCAATCATTATGTATTAATATAATTATTACATTATGTGTGCGCACTTTGGAAAAAATATTTAAATTATGTACGCAATAAATTACAGCGTTCGCATTACGTTAATATAACAATTATTATTCGTATATTATACGTATATAATCGCCGGGCCTATACCTGTACAATACAATAATTCCTAATCATACACCAATTAAAACCACAACAATGAATAAGCACGCACAATCTACACAAATTAACTGAAATTCAAAAAAAAAAAAAAAAACAAACAAAGCAGTATAATAATAGCCGGAGTATATACGTATAGATATAGGTAGCCCAAAATTATCCAATATTTCAATAAAAATTATTTATTAACGACAACAACTGCGGTCATTTATATTTTTAATTGAAGTTTTAATGGCTCGTATATTATTATAAAGCAACGACGCATCACAATAATATTATTATTTACTATTATTTGTTTCACAGTTCACCGTGTTTAATAATTAGACTGGTAGTTTAGACTGAATTTCATTTCAGAAACACTAATCGTGTGATTTCGGTTAGACTTATTAAGTTTGATTCACACGAAGTCGTGAACTAGACGGCGAGAATACTTACTCGTTCTGCGCGTTTACATATTTTGTTTGTTTACATTGGCCCCGGTTACCACATTTCAAGGATGTGTCACAATGTTTTAAATCACAGTGAAAAAAATCGGTTGTTTTTTTATTTTTAATATCAACTCCGTCCCGCAATAATTTACACTAGCTCACTGCAGATAGGAGCCTAAAATAATGCGTTTTAGAGTACAGAGTGTACAGTATACAAAATGTAAAATGTGCAGCTCGAAACATTCTAGTGTGTTATTAAGAAAAAAAAAGTAATCTTTGGAAAGACGCTAAAAGAACAGTGTTCCGGGGTGCTGAAAATGCGGTAAAGTACTATTCCGTACGTTTTAGCTTTTTGGAAACACGATTCCGTACGATTTGTTGGGCAATGTTGCCGTTTACATTTATTATTTATTAGTGTCAATTCGTTTAATTTTCTAAAATAATATTATAAAGTTACAAAAAAAAATTGATGAACTTGAAAAAGTTAAAGTTAAAAATTTGTCACACAAGTTTTTCACTTAATTCCTGAAGAAATAACCACATGTCAATGTAGGTTTCTTCGGATTTTTTAGGCAAGAAAAATAAACTATGGGTATATAAAAGTCATTTGTAAACAATTAATTGTATAGAGCTGAATATAATATTCCGGCGCATAATTAAATACAAAAAAAACTTATCCGATTTATAACGACTGTATCGCTGTTGTACGTTGTATAAATGTTATACTATAGTAGTTTGAACATTGATTAAATATACTTTAATTTGATCAATGGTTAGGAATACCCTACGTAAAACGCTATGACTAGGTTAAATAGTCAAATACCTACGTAACTTTATGGAAATCTGGCAACGTTGCACTAAAATCTTCGGTACAAAACGTACAGAGTCGTGTTCTACCCCGAAAATGTTAATACGTCTCTGGTTACCTACTATACATCCAATGCCAACGTAACCCGTGCCCGAAACTCGGGTTGATAAAAACCGAAAAATTGAAGGAGAAAAAAATCCCTACGTGGACGAGACACGACAGCAATTACGTATTTCACGATCGATTCAGTCCGGCGTGCCGGTTGTAATCGCGACCGATCTATTTTCGATGGTTGACGTTTCTACACTACCGCTAGTTCGCACTATTTATGTACCGATAACGACTCGATTTCCTAGTGGCAGTGTCTTCACCCGGTTCACGACTCCGTGTGAACCCGGCTTTATTGTGGCAGGTATAATTTCATCGATTATTGTCAACGCGGTGTGTACACACCACGGGTCATAATGAATTCATATAGTTCGAGGTGTTTTTTTCGCTTACGCCGTGCATACAAAATCAGACAATCGGACGACGAAACTGCGAGTATACCATACGCCTGTAATATCCATGCAGTTATTATTATGCCAATACCTAACCTAACCGAATAGTGAAAGCGAACAATAATTATCATATAATCGAGTTACGTTTTACAATGTTCTTTATTTGTTTTTATTACAAGTTTAATTTTTTTTTTTCGATAAGTAACCTTGACTTGTTAGCCTAAAAATATATGGGAATATAGTTATATACGCTCTGTGATTATTTTTAGAATTCATCACGTCGAAATCAACACCTACTTAAGCCTAAACGCGGTGTAAAACCACCGCGTTTGGAAAAAAAACTCATTCGTTTTAATACACGACTATACGAAAATATTATGTAATTATAGCATCGTCACTTTGAGAACTATTGCAATTAAAAATTTAAAATAAAATAATAATATTCGTTATTAATTTTGTATATTATTACTGTCAAAATGTGATTTTGATCTCTGCAATATTTATGTATGTATAAAAAAAAAAGGGGGAAATTTATATACAAAGATATTTTGTTCAAACGATAATAGCGCGTAGCATTAAATAATCAATGTAATTACAAAAAAATCTTTGATCCATTAATAAATTACAAATTATTTCATTTTCAGTTGTGTACTCGGTATTATGAGACCAGTATTGGTTGTGTATTATTTTATTTTGTTGTGTTTATTGTGCATCAATATAATTTTTAACACACGTTATTTATCAATGTATATTGTTTTGATAAAGTATAAAGCCGTATACCGGAAGAATCTGACACACATATTAAGGTATCTACTATAAATGTTTATCATTTTAATTTTTCTTATCTCCGGCATCTATTTTGTCGTAAATGCGCGGTGCTTCTGTGTGCGCATACGGCTGCAGAAACCTCAAAACTTACAAAACCTTCGGTAATCACATTATTAACCGAACGATCAAGGGGGTCAAAATCTTTCAAAACTAGAGAAACACGTGTTAGAAAAAAATGAAATTTTCATTTTTATCCTTTAATTTATTTTTCCTCTTTTTAAAGTTATCAAAATGGCCATTTTGTAAAATATATCATTTTAAACATTTTAATGTAACATACATTAAAAATTGAAAATAAAAGATTGTTTCACGTCGTCTATTTTCTAGAAATCAAAACGTCTATTATCTACTAAGGAACTATTGACCGAATATAAATGTATGTTACATTAGAATTATTAAAATTATATATCTTACAAAATTGTCATTTTGGTGACATTAAAAAGTGATAAAATAAAAAGTAATTTTTTTTTCAATAATTAAGGGATTAATTAGGACACTCTACATTTAATTGTTTGCTTTATTTATTTGATAAATCATTTTTAAAAAAAAAACTTTTTCTTTTATTAGCTGTTGATGGGTTGTTAAACGAAAAAAACCACGAGCAACAACTTTTATAGGAAATTTAATGAACAATATGAATTTTTATAATATACTCGTATATTGCTCTATGCGTTTTTCGTTCATCATACAAATTTTAGGCCGTAATAGTTACAACAAAATTGAAAAAAACTATTTTTCCGAATTTCAACCCTCTTGAGGCACGCCTAGGGGTTGACCAATTA